ATAAATATTCTTATTTTTTACGACAGTAATTAGAAATAAGAAATATACTTTATTACTAGCTAAAGTCTAAGTTACAGGCTGACTTCAGGTCTGGTTTAGATCATTGTTACTTATAAATTATATATTTTTCTGGTAAAAATCTGCTGTTTTACATGATTGTTGAATGAAATTCACATAATTATTAATTTATTGTAAAAACATAACCGATAATCTGTGAAACAGATCTGGTTCAGCTTGCTGTTTATCTATTAGTTTCTATGGAGGCTGCAGCTGTTGCCCTTTTAGATGCCATTTTTGCTCCTCCATGCTGTCACAGACACTACCAGTGTACGGTGTGGGCGGGGCTCAGTCTAGTGCTCTATATATATAAGTCTATGTTTTTGACACACTTACTATCCACCAAACAAGGCTCAGATCAAAGAGAGTGTGGGCATTCTCTTGCCTGATAAACTACTGCCGGCAGCTGTTCAGACATGAAATGACCAGCTGCCAAAACCTCACACTGAACTTTAGACAGGAAGTCAACAAAACAATGGTCTTCTTGAGCAATAAACAACAAAGATTTTTTTATACAGACTTCAAAACCAGGAGCAAATCTGTAATAGCTTCCACTTCTAAAACAAGACACGTCCAAAAACAGATTTATTGTCCAATGTTATTGTCTCCTTTGTGCTATTGAGAAACCATCTTGCAAATGCCGTGCCTTGGAAACTCTTTAGTGTCAAAAACTTTTACCTTCATGGTTCTGCAGATTGTAGAAATTAGGAAAGGGGAAACGAGAGAAGGAAGAAAAATCACAGTCCGTACCCTGAGAGAGTGATTTGTGATTCCGTATCGGGAGTGTTGAATCTTGAGCCATCCAACATGGTCAGTGACCAGAGGAGCAGAGAGGGTGTCCTCCTCCTGACAGCTCCCCCACACCCACCCAAAGCCCTTGAATATATTAACCACTGGGGTCCAAAGGGGTGCTGGGAATAATTACTCATTCCTGCCATGTGACATCCTCAATAAATTAAACCTCCCCTGTAAGTTTTAAAGGCAAATGCATATTGTGGCCATCACTTAAAGGCCGTCCTGTTCGTGCTCGTGCATAATTTCTTGTAAGAATTTGCTACCACAACTCGGTAACTGAACCCAGAAGCTGACTACAGATGAGTGAGCAATCTGCCAATGAAGTTGGAGGGAATGAAGCAAGTGTGGAGGAAAATGGTTAAAGAGAAAATGTGTGTGTGCGTGTGTGTGTGTGTTCATCATTAATAAATCCTACTCCATTAAGCTTTAATCTAATTATAAATCACGCTTTCATCTGCCATGAATCATCTCTGCACTACGTTAAGTAAATTGGGGGAAAGAATTTAGACACATAATTGAGATTTTAATGATTTTTTTTTCCATTGTGAAGAGAACAGAAAAGTTATCGGCCTAACGTGAAATGATTGTTTAAGCCGCCGTAACTAATAGCTTCAAAGAAAAATATAATTATGATTTAATAATTGACAAATGAACTCTAGGGAACTTTTTCCAGTTTTGGCAATGGACATGATCCATAAAAATCACATTTTTTTAGCAGCTGCACATCTAAAAGCAGCAATTACGGTCTCTGTAAACACACATAAAACCTGAGCAAACACGCCGAGCAGCCGGCTGTGGATTAGGGGTGAGATGGAGATGTCATCCCGTCCTCGCAACGGCACATCTGGAGGATAAGTCTAAAAAAAAATACAACCGATGAGAAGTTCTTTCAATAAATACATTTCCACTGTGCAGGAGTGACTTCGGCAGTGACAGGCCTGAGACAAGTTGTGCTGAGGAACATCAACACCTCTACTCCAAAACTAATTATGTGTCACACTGAGCTTATAGTGAAGTCATTTAATTGCTTCTGTATTCCATTGTTTTTACTTAACACACTGGGATTTATCTTAAAGACAATAATAGGAAACAACTCCAAACGAGTCAGCCACTTTCCCATTTTTAGACTCTGGGTTGTTTGTTGTTGTTGATCATGGATGTGCAATAAAAAAGAAAAAAAAAGTTGGCAACATCTGCAAACATCTCTGCCAGGTTTTCAGAGTTGAAAGGCAACTGTTTCGATTCTCCTCTTCCTTACATTCTGTCCAATAACAAACTTGGCACTTCCTGTCTCCTCTGAGCTAAAGAAGTCACCAGATTTAAGTTAGGTGAAAC